ACACCGTTACACGCATGCACAACACACATACACGCACAGCGTGAGCGTGCATGCACAAAATACACACATGCGTGCACACACACACACACACACACACACACACACACACACACACACACACACAAACACTCACAAACCAACAAACACAACGCTTGATTTACATCTACCACACTCGCAGAATGTGAACAGATATGGCCTTTCTTGGTGGAAACTCCGGCCTATCATATTCTCTTGGGATGTGCCAAAAGCTCTATTGATGGATGGATGAATGGATTGGAGGATGGATGTTTGTGTGTCATTTTTTGTAATGAGTTTTACCTCACTGACAACACAGTAAAGAAAGATATTCAGGTGAAGAAAAGGAAATGGATTGGACACACCCTGAGGAGACCCCCGACAAGCATCAACAGGCAGGCTTTAACGTGGAACCCACAAGGAAAGCGTAAGAAGGGAAGACCAAAGATGACATGGAGGCAAGCGGTACAAGCGGAAATTGAAAAGCGGGGACATCATGGAAACAGATAGAAAAGGATGCTCAGGACAGGCTTCGCTGGAGTAATTTTGTTGATGGCCTGTGCTCCACTGGGAGTTAAAAAGGGCAAGAGAGGGAGAGAGAGAGAGAACACAATAAGGCCATATAGGTGCCGAAGATAAACGGTTTTGCAAGAGAGTAACAAACACATGAAAGAAGGAGGGATAAAGATGATAAGTGTTTGACACGAAAAAATAGGCAAACCACACCAAAGTACCCGCCAACTATCCACTTTGTATGTCTTTCTGTTTGAGTATGTGTATGTGAGTATGTGTGAAAATGTGCAACTATGTGCGTGTTTGTCTTAATGGTCTTATCTATCTATCTATCTATCTATCTATCTATCTATCTATCTATCTATCTATCTATCTATCTATCTATCTATCTATCTATCTATCTATCCATCTATCTATCTAAGTCCTTTATTAATCTATTCTCCTATATCATTTGCTCACTATAGTGCTATTATTTGATATCTTTGTCCACATCTATATTCACGTATCACGTTTTGCAACAAATAACAGACACACAGTAAAAACAGCCAGCAGTGAAATAAAAGTTGGGACAATCATAGGCTTTACCTCAACATCAGTGTCCGCCCCTTCAATACAATAGCCTCACAAAATAATGTATGACGGATTATAATTCGAAGGGACAGCAGGTGGAATTTAAAAATCTCTTTTTGGAATAAACACATTAAACAGCATCCTCACAAATCTTACTGGTCGTCAATTTACAACAAAATAAGCCCACCCATGACGCAGGAGGGAATTCTTAAAATAATACTTCCATCCCAGTTCACTTAAAGGATGAATAAAGTGTATGGTATCGTGGGGCAAAGTCCAAAATTGTCAAATGAAACAAATTGTTGATTCAGAAGTTAACTACACACTTGACTGTTTCCCTGTATCCTGCTGAGCCACGATAGAGTTGACCCTGATTCGAATCCCAAAAAGGGACATTCTTGAAAATTTGGATAGCTTTGTGAACTTTGGAGGCTCTCCAAACATTTAGGTTTTTAAAAATAAGAGATGAGCATTTAATTTAAAGATATCTAAAAACTCTCAGAGTATTCACAGAGATGTGCTATAATTTCCCATGAGGGTCAGCGGATATTAATCGTCTACTTTCCCTCTAAAAGGGCACGTGACTTTCCCTCAGCATGGGTGTAACTTAACCACAATCTTTAAATTCTTGAACTTTCGACATTTTTAAAAATTCGGGTAAGCGGGATTGATGACTGTCGTTCGAAAATGGCAGTATGAGAATTTGTTCTTGTTTCGTAGTCTACAGCACAAAAGTCTTATATACAATACAACAAGGGTAGGGACTCATCTCATCTCATCTCATCTCATCTCATCTCATCTCATCTACAAAAATAGGCAATTAACTTTGGGTGCAGGTGACGTTACTTTGATCCCGTCGTGAGAGTACATGAAATAGATTATAGGGTTTATCTGGCTTCACTGCTTTTGGGATGAATTCGATTCAGTCCCCGTTTGGCCGTGAATGAGCCAGCCCAGGTTGTGATAAATAGGGTGATAATATTAACCACTGGATACTGCAGCACAATAACGATATGAAATTAAATAGATTTGATTTAAACAGACTTTTATAACAGTAACATTGAAATGATATTGGGAGAAAAATAATTAGATTGACGAACCCCCCCCCCCCCCATAACACACCCACCCACCTGCCCACATAAAAAACAAAACAAACAAACAAATAACAGACTTGATCTTCGTCTATTTTCGGCCCCAGAGTGCTACCATTTCGATAATTTAACTTGGGCTTGGTGTGGTTTAAGTGTGAGGCTGCTATAAGTACTGGAAGGTTATTTAAACGACAGAACCTCCGAATGTACACATATCTACGTCAGGAAGGATATGAAGCGGCGTTGTGCTTGAAAACTCCCAAAACAACAGAAGTTCTCTAAAATTTTCCATTAGAGAATCGAACCAGGGTCAACCACAATGCGGGCCGGCACACTACTAAGGTTTCGGAGCGCCCATTAAACGGAGGAAAGGAAATTTTTCGTCTAAACGTTCATCCAAGAATTGCCACAGGGCACATTGGGTGAAAGTGAAAGAGGTGTATTCGTTGATTGAAGAAAGTAGAGGGGTTTTTTTTGGAGGGGGGGGGGGCAATTTGAAGAAACACCCGAGCTGCAGTCAGAATCATAAACGAGCACGTATACGAATCCCCCCTCGAGAGCCATCGTCCTATTAAACCTGTCGGGTTCTGGACCCTCCCAGTCTCTTTCTCCACACCGCCGCTATCAACACCCGTCGTATAATGGTCTCCCAATCGCTTTTTAACGGCAATCAACAGTCTCGACACGGCTAATCACAGACCTTCCACCACTTGGACCAGGTCATATTGCAAGGTCCCCCGTCAGCCCACGGTATGAGCTTTGCTCTGGACAACGGGCGCAGCGGCGGGGCCTCCAGGCGACACTCTCTGACACCCTTCATTTGCCCGGGAGGCGGTCTGCGTTTGTGTTTACAGCGTTTTCAAGAAATAGGCTAGCAAATGGTGCGACAGCGCTGCCGCATTCCCAGCGAACGTCCTTTTTGTAGAAGAAACATCCAGATAAAAGATAACGTGCACTGCTAAAATATGATAAGACTCTGGTTTTGCTCAAAACACACCACAATACTTGTGACTGGGGTCCGATTCTTTGATTACAGAAATGGATCTTCAGATATTCTCAGTATATAGACAGAACTATTTTGAAAAAAAGGGAAAATCCCTCTAACAAATGCGTTTCAAGAATCACACTTACTAAAAAGCTCTTGACTAAAATAATCTTTAAAAAAACAACAAAGCAAGCGAAAGCACGTAAGAAAGGTTCAGTCAAACATGTGAAATGCTATTTAAAAAAGTGTTGACCATGAAAACCTTTTTGTTCAAAACATACCCACAAAATAGCTAACTTTGTAGTGATGCTACTCCAGGGAAAAGGCGTGTACCGCTGACGGTAAAATAATGATAGGGGCAAACACCCTTCCTTAATCGTGTCAGAGTTGGGTGTCTATAGGATGCCAGCATCCCACTGGCAAGGATGAAACGTTCACTCAGAAATAGGGGGCGTGGTTTGAAATAAAGGCCGTCAGTGCATGTGACCGACCCGTGATTAAGGAGTCCGTATCACCCTCAAGGTGTCATCCTGTTCTCCTGAACTTTTGGCATTCGGGTAGAGAATTGAGGGACTCTGGGGGGGGGGGTCCTCCTATGGCTAATAAACAAGCTCATCGGAACGTTCTGGATCTTGCATGGGGTATATGCCGCAGGAGAGAGGATATTCGTTGTGTGAGTGGACATTATACTCGGTGCTCATTGGAGGTCGGTTCGGTTCGGTTTGGTTAAACCAGGTGTCCATTTCGGATGGGATCGAGTCGGATCTTGTCTGGTCGGGTCGGGTCGGTCGGGTCGGGTCGGATCGATGGACCGACTCGCCTGAAAACAAACGCGTTTGTTATTGAGGCGACGAGTCGGGCGCAATCGGCTTGTGTAACGATAGCCGCTTTGCGCCCTCGATCTGGCTAGCAAACCGATCCGACCCGACAAGATCCCCCAATCTCTCTTGCCATTTTTTTAACTCCCGGGGGAGCATAGACCATCAACAACATTTCTCCAACGAAGCCTGTGCATCCATTTCTAGCTGTTTCCATGATGTCCCCGCCTTTTCCATTTCCGCTTGTACCGCTCGTCTTCATGTCATCTTTGGTCTTCCTTTCTTACAGTTTCCTTGTGGATTCCACGTCAAAGCCTGTCTGGTGATGCTTGTCGGGGGTCTTCTCGGGGTGTGCCCAAATCATAATCCCCCAATGGGCATCTCGTATTAGTAGGGAATGATTAGAAGAATACTCATTTCACGCTCTTTTGACACGCGCGGAAATCCATTTATTCCTGAAGCTCGTTGTTATGGGATAGTAAAATGGGTGGGGTGGGGTAGGGGCCGGGAGGGGGGATGGGGCAGTGGTTAGGG